AATGAGCTAAAGGCTCCCATTTGCACATTTTCTGGGCTTGTTCTCGAATTGTACCCTATTGGGGAGCAGTTCATCAAATGGTACAATGAATATTTTACTCCAATTTTCCTTTTACCTATAAATTGTTCTTGCTGGGTCTGCTATCCCAAAGTCTCTCCAAATCATACAAAAAGCTGCTGAGGCACATACTGACAGTGGCCAAATGTTTGATTGCTCTTAACTGGGAAAAGAGTTCACCCCCATCTTATGGAAACGTTAACTGCTCGCCTTGGGAACAATTTAGAGAAACATAACCAGGTTTGGGAATTGTGGCATTTGCAAGAAGCCCTCTCTTAATGGATCCTGGGGTCTTTTTTTGCTCCCTTCCTTTTTGTGTGGCCAAGGGACAAAGAATGTGGAGAGACACAGACCTCTTTTTCTCCTTTACCTTATTTTTTTTCCTTTCTTTTTCTCTCTTTTTCCTTTTTTTCATTATTATGTTATTGTGGTTTGGGCTGGTTGCATAGCCATAATACCGATCATCTGATCTATCACTACCACCTGGTAATCTCAAGCTGTACCTTACAATACACTTAACTTGTATTAGCCACATACTAATTTCCCATAGTCACTCATGTGCAGATGTTAGTTATGCTTCATCAATGGTAATGGATTCCTCTTGGAATGGAAATTTGTAACATATATGTCACTTGTATAGTGTACTTTCTTTTTTTAGGATGTGCTAACATTTTTGCTGAGCTATGTCCACAGTCTTTGCATACCTGTCTTCTTTTTTTTCTGCATAACTGTACTCTGTATTAATAAGGAAAATGTTAAATAAAAATTGTTACTAATTAACAGAGATCTCATAGTTTAGGGATGTTATCTTTCTGGAAGGCACTTGTGACATAGCTTTCCCAGGGTGCATCTGTGGGGAGGGCAGAAAGATGTCTAGGAAGTGGGATTACATTAAATATAAGTAACAGCAACATTCTTTATTTAAGCAAATGTCAGGTGATTTAACACTAGCACGCAGAGATGCATGCTGATGTGATTTTTAGTGAAGAGGGTGGGGAGGTCCACCTTAAATAAAATGGCAAATTAGCATGAACAAAATAATTAATAGGCTTCAGCTCTAACTTTTTAAGTTCTCTACTTATGAACTGATTATCCCTAATACTAACAATACTTGCTGTTTGGACTATACTGTCCTCCATAAAAATTTGTACCCCCTCAGTTCTGCCCCCCATAATAAGATCTACCAACTTTATTTTGTCGTCCATTAGAAGATCTGCCTCCACTTTCCTGCCCTCCAAAAGAACTCATACACTCACTGTCCTGCCCCACTGTCCTGCCTTCCCTAAGAACATCAATCCCTACTGTCCTGCCTTTCCTAAGAAGACATGCCCCCGCTGTCCTGCCCTCCATAAGAAGATCTACCCCCACTGTCCTGCCTTCCATAAGAAAATCCCCCTCCCCTCACTGCTGTGCCCTCCATAAGAAGATCTACCCTCACTGTCCTGACCTCTATAAGAAGATATTCCCCCACCATCCTGTACTCCATATTAGGATGTGCCCCCACTGTCCTGCCCTCCATAAAAATGTGTGCCCCCACTGTTCTGCATTTCAGACCTGCACAGCCTCAATTCCCTATTCTTCCTCAGTTCCCCAGGTACCACACTGTCATATCAGCATCATTTATATCTGCACTGTCTCAGCTAAAGCTATGTGTTTTTTTAACACATCACTTTTTGTTAGGCCAAAACATCAATCATCTAAGTGAATTTGTCGAAATTTTATTATTTGGTATTTATTTCTGCGCAGCGGATTATTCTGTATTTAATGCATTCAGGCTTATCTTTTTTCCTGACAGAGAAGTGTGCTGTTTGGTGAATGGCAGGGATAATTTGCACGTCTGCTTTATAGGCTTCCCAGACTGCAGAGGTCTGTTAATATCAGATAAAGCGATCTCTGCTGTCTGCTTTTATTTCATGACATCTCTCCTTTTCTTCTGGGTGAAATGAGACTTATCCAACTGTCATCCGTTAACAATGACCAATGTAAGTGAGGCTTCAGAGAAGCCAAAAATGCAGCAATAGAGAGGTCTTCACTGCACATTGCTCCCCAGTGCACAGTACCAGTTGGCTGCTCCTGTCTGCTAGCTTGCACTGTACCTTTTTCCTCTTGATTGGAGAATCAAGCAGCGCATTGTTGTCATGTTTCTTTTCAGTAGGACCGGAATAGGAAGTGTTTAGATTGTTTTTCACTTCAAGACAATTGACTTTATGTTGTTACAACTTTGCCTTGAAGCTCGGATTCATAACAACAAATACTTGCCTTTCTTAGCCATAGATCTATTTCTTACTACCATCTTGACATTCAGCATTTTTAAAGCTCCTAAATGATTAGTATTACTATTTGGTTTTATTATGTTTTCGATAGATTGAGGGCAGGTTAGAACTCCTGTCGAAATTTAATTGTTGTCTATGTTCCTATTGAGCAGAATTCTCCACACTTCCTGTCCTGGTTGCTCAACAAGAAAATCACTATTGTCCCCACCATCCACCCATGGCAGGCTAGCCCTATAGTCCCCCCCAAACCCTCTGTATAGGTAATAACATTGCCCAGTGCTAATGTGAATGCTTGTATAGGCCGTCATTCATAAGAAAGACTGATTGGCAGCCAGAACTTGCATGCTTGGCCGACTGCCATCTAATATCGGCACTTTAGCCTTTTCCAATTCCAGTAGTAAACATGCTTTCATTGCTTGAAAGATATGGCCATTTTATAGCACAAAACAGTTGAACATAACCTTTCTAAGGTTTATTTATTTATTTATTATTATTTATTGCAGGTACTTATATAGCGCCATCAATTTACACAGCGCTTTACATATATATTGTACATTCACATCAGTCCCTAACCCTCAAGGGGTGTATAGTCTAAGGTCCCTAACTCACATTCATACATACACATACTAGAGACAATTTAGACAGGATCCAATTAACCTCCCAGCATGTCTTTGGAGTGTGGGAGGAAACCCACACAGGCACAAGGAGAACATGCAAACTCCAGGCAGGTGGTGCCATGGTTGGGATTTGAACCAACGACTCTAGTACTGCCAGGCAGAAGTGCTAACCACTTAGCCACTGTGCTTCAGAAGCAATCTAACACCCATTGATCCCAAAAAACTACCTTTACTCTTCTTTTACACCAATATAGTTCACATAACAATGGTGCCCATTTTTGCAGAAATTGCAGGAAATGAAAGCTCTTAACCACTTGCTGACTGCTCATGGTAAATATACTGCGAGTGTGTGACAGGTGCAGGTATGATTATGTACATGTACTGTACATGACCAGCTTTCTTCTGGGTTTGGGGCATGCACATGTACACCCCCCGGCTGAACCGTGCTGTGATTAAACAAGGCTGAAATCAGCTGATAGGCTGTGTCCAATCATACCCAGAGTTCTGTGTTTACAAAAACACAGAACCCTGTTTACAGGGAACAGTAATATAGCTAGAAAAACAGCCAAATAGTAAGTAAAAGCAGCCAGTTTGGTTAGTACAGTGATATTGTACAGTATTAGCACTGATCACTGTATTAGTGTCATTATTGATGTTAGCGTCAGTCAGTTAGTGTACCTCCCAGCCGGCATCAGCTAGTGCCAGATAGCCTTCCACACAATCACGGTCCCACTATAAGTCGCTGATCACCATGCATTACTAGTGTAGCATCATAACTTTGTAAATTATATATACAATAGTTTGTAGATGCTATAACTTTCGCACAAAGCAATTAATTTACACTTATTGGGATTTTTTTTACCAAAGACATGTAGCAGAATACATTTTGGCCTACATTTATGAAGAAATTAGATTTTTTATTGTTTTTTAGAATATGTTTTTTTTCCAAAATGTTTGGTCCTTTCTTGTCTACATAATAATAAATGCCACAAAAAACTCCATTTGTGTGGAAAAAAAATATACATTTCATTTGCATACAGTGTTGCATGACCGTGCAATTATCAGTTAAACACTTTCCTGCTGCCCTACTGCTACAAGGCTGCAGGGCTGCGCAAAATCACGTGACACAAAAATGTGATTTGCATTTTCGGGTATGGGGCATGCGCAAGCGCCACCCTACCCACACCACCATTTGCATCTAGGGATGTTAATCACCGGGTCCCAGCTGGAGATTCCCCGCCGACACCCTGCGATTATCAGAGAAAGCTGACAAGGGAGAGACCTGTGTGTAAGGACATGTGTAAGGACATGCTGGTTTGTATTTCTCTGCACAGCAGCATGTTTCCCTAATAAAACACACACAGCACATAACGTTAAAAAAACGCCCCAGATGTTAACCCCTTCATGCCCAGTGTCATTAGTACAGTGTCAGTGCTTTACATTAGCATTGATCACTGTATTAGTGTGAATGAGATGTCAGTGGCAGTTAGTCAGTTCCCACCCAGTGTCAGAATGCCCGCCACAGTCCCGCAGTCCCTCTGTAAGTCGCTGATCACCACATTTACTAGTATAAAAAAACAAATTCCAGTATATATACCACCATTTGTCGATGCTATAACTTTCACGTAAACCAATTAATTTACACGTATTGGGATTTTTTTTTAGCAAAGACATGTAGCAAAATACATTTTGGCCTAAATTTATGCAGAAATTTGATTTTTTTTTTAAATTTTTTTATTGGATATGATTTATATAGCAAAAAGTAAAAAATATTGTTTTTTTTTTCATTTTTTGTTTATAGCACAAAAAATAAAAATCTCAGAGGTGATCAAATACCACCAAAAGAAAGCTCTATTTTTGGGGAAAAAAGGAGATTTCATTTATGTAGGGTGGTGCATGACTGTGCAATTGTCAGTTAACCACCTCCCGCCCGCCATATAGTAATATGACGGACGCAAGGTGGTTCTTTCGTTCTGGGAGGACCTCATATGACGTCCTCCCATTCTCACCGCGTATGCGCGGCTCCCGGAGTGTGCAGCGCGATGATCGGTGGTGCACTGTGTCCTTCAGACACAGCGGATCACCGATCCATGGAAAGAGTGGAAGATGTCAGCTCGGTCATGTGATCAGCTGTGTCCAATCACAGCTGATCACATGTAAACAGGGAAATGCCGGTTATCAGCATTTCTCTCTCCACGAGCTGTCACGCTGACAGCTTGAGAGGACAGGAGAGCTGGTAATTGGCATTCCTTGGAGGGGACATGTACACAGATCATCAGAGCACTGATGATCAGTGTGGCCTGATGATCTGTGTAGCCCCAGCAGTGCCACATGTCAGTGTCCATCAGTGCCAGCTGTCAGTGCTCATCCATGCCACCTGCCAGTGCCCATCAGTGCCACATTTCAGTGCCCATCTGAGCTGCCTTTCAGTGCCACCCATCAGTGCCAGTCAGTGCCACCTATCAATGCCAGTCAGTGCCACCTATCAGTGCTGCCAATCAGTGCCGCCTATCAGTGCCAATCAGTGCCAGTTATCAGTGTGCATCAGTGCCGCCTATCAGTGCCCGTCAGTGCTGCCTATCAGTGCTGCCTAGCAGTGCCACCTAACAGTGCCAGTCAGTGCCACCTAACAGTGCCAGTCAGTGCCACCTATCAGTGCTAGCCAGTGCCGCCTATCAGTGCCATATATGAGTGCTGCCTTTCAGTGCCCATCAGTGATGCCTGTCAATGCCCATCAGTGCCACCTACAAGTGCCTCCTCATCAGTGTCCATCAGTGCCACCTACCAGTGCCTCCTCATCAGTGCCCATCAGTGCCACCTACCAGTGCCCATCAGTGCCACCTATCAGTGTCCATCAGTGCAGCCTATCAGTGCCCATCACTGCAGCCTCATTAGCGCACATCAGTGAAGGAGAAAAATCACTTATTTACAAAATTTTATAACAAAAACTAAGAAAAAATTTTTTTTTTTTTCAAAATTTTCAGTGGTTTTTGGTTTGTTTAAGAAAAAATAAAAAACCCAGAGGTGATTAAATACCACCAAAAGAAAGCTCTATCTGTCACAATAAAATGATACAAATTTCATATGGGTACAGTGTTGCATGACCACACAATTGTTATTTAAATTGTGACAGCGCTAAAAGCTGGAAATTAGCCTGGGCAGGAAGGGGGTATAAGTGCCCTGTAGGCTAGTGGTTACAGTAACTCGGTGCCGTATCGCAAAAAATGGCCTGGTCAGGAGGGGGGTAAAACATTCCTATTTGTCACTGCTTATCAATTAACACTTGTTTGATTTACATATGGTCAGTATAACTAACTATACTTTCAAGATAGGTTAGAAAATAAATCACTAATCTGTTATTCAATTTAAAAACGGGTTTCAGTTGCATACATTTACAAATACATGCGGAAGCAACACCATCACGGTAAGGCACCTCTGATAAGTGTGTTCCTCAACTGTAAACTTTCTGAGTTCCCAGCAATAACCAACCAGCCTGTCTTCTTGTATCTATGAGGTTGTTTAACCAGACCAATACTTTTGCAGCAAAACTGCATCCTGCTGTTAATTTCACAGTCCTGTGTAATTAGGCTATCAGATGAAAACCTTTTAGAATAATCTCAATCTGTGAACAAAGCATTTTCTGTAATACAGTACAAATGAACATGAAAGAAACTGTCTGTAAATTACCAGCATTGATGGTTAATAAATCCAGTGTAAACTGTTTCATATATTGCATTTAATGATACTTGCTGATTTGTTAGCATAATACTTGGAGATTTGATTCACAGTTACCAGTGCATGTATCCAGACATTAGAAGCCACTGTAGTTGTGCACAATAGATTCCTTAAATACTATATAGCTGTTAATAGGTAACGTAAACACATCCCTAAAGCCTAATACACACAATGAGAAAATCGGATGAAAAAGACAGCTTTCTGAGTGATCGTCCAATATTCTGATCGATAGTACACAGCTTTCAAGAGTCGATCATGACAGTTCATGTGAATTTATCCACTGGACAAGCACGAAAATGTTTTCTCGTACGATATCAGAACAAACTTTTTTTGTTTAACCACTTGCCAACTGCGTTATAGCCGAATGACGGTCCAGTCCTGGGAGGGTGTCATATGATGTCCTCCCAGAGTGCGCTCCCTCCCGCACGCCCGTGAGGGCGCACACCCAGCGATCTCCATGATCGCTGTGTCCTATGTGGTAAAAGGCCAATCACAGCGGCCTTTTACCACGTGATCAGCTGTGTCCAGTGACACAGCAGATCTCCGATAAATGCAGCTGCCGGTTATTGGCTGCACTTTGCTTACGCTGTCACAGCATGAGGAAAGTACTGCCGATAACCAGCTAACCCCGTATGACTACGTGCCCTCGTACGAAATGCGTCAGAGAGTGGCTACAGCGGTGTGACGTCACACCGACCGGCGCCACGAGGGCCCCGGCGGCCATTTGCATTTGCACATGTATGGGTCAGTATCTTTCTTGCTCCTACCTGTACTGTTTTTTTGGGAATAAACACTCCTTGCCATAAGGATATTACACTATCTGGCCTTCTTTTGTTCTTTGAGCTCCGGTGGGAGCCATTTACATCTGCAGAGTGGCTATTTCCAAACATGGCAACACTATCAAGCAGTGAGGGGCATTTGACCAGATCTAACCAGACCCATATAAGGATCCTTGATGTCCTGAGAGTATCTGCTTTAAATGCGCATTGAGATTGCGTATCTGGTGAGTGCGCAATCCCTATATATATCTATCACCTCATCCATGGATCCAGCCATTGGATTTTTTGAAGATCATTTGGGATCTTTTCTGCTCATGCTATAGACTGTATTTTGGTCTAGTGTCCAATCACCTATAGTCACCATTAGGTGACACTTTTACTTGCACCTTAATATTGTTTTATTATGCTGTTTTATTCTACTGTATTTTTGCATAAAGATGTCTATATGTCCTAAACACAACATTTTAGCGCTGCACCTTGCTTTATTTTGATTACTTTGGAGGTTTATATGGTGCCTTTTTGGTGTTCAGCTGCTATTTTCTCCTTCTATTTATTTATCATTTCACCTTAAGCGCTCACTTACCCTGCGATTTACTGATAACCAGCAATTGTCAGAGGATGGATCTGCACTGATCATCAGGGTACTGATGATCAGTGCCCTGATGATCAGTCCCCAGCAATGCCACCCACCAATGCTGCCCACCTGTGTCCAGCAGTGCAGCCCACAAGTGCTCAGCAGTGCCGCCCACTTGTGCCCATCAATAACCAGCAGTGCCACCCACCTGTGCCCATCAGTGCCTAGTAGTGCCACCCACCAGTGCCCAGCAGTGCTACCCATCAGTGCCCATCAGTGCCGCCAGTCAGTGCCTAGCAGTACCAGCAGGCAGTGCCACCCATCAGTGCCCATCAGTGCTGTTTATTAGTGCCACCTATCAATGCCCGTCAGTGCCCATCATTGTTGCAGATCAGTGCAGCATCATCAGTGCCACCTCACCAGTGCCACCTTTCAGTGCTGCCTATCCGTGCCACCTTTTCAGCGCCGCCTATCAGTGCCCATCAGTGCCACCTATCAGTGCTCATCAGTGCTGCCTATCAGTGCCCATCAGTTCTGCCTATCAGTGTAGCCTCATCAACCCACATCAGTGAAGGAGAAAAATTACCTGTTTGCAAAATTTTATAATAGAAACAAAGAAAAACTTTTTTTTTTTAATTTTTTTGCTCTTTTTTTGTTTATAGCGCAAAAAATAAAAACACCCAGCGGTGATTAAATACCACCAAAAGAAATTTCTATTTGTGTGAAAAAAATGATAAAAATTTCACATGGCTACAGTGTTGCATGACCGCACAATTGTCATTCAAATTGTGAGAGCGCTGAAAGGTGGAAATTGGCCTGGGCAGGAAGGGGATATAAGTGCTTGGTAGGCAAGTGGTTAATCATTGCAGTATTTGTCTGGAAAAAAATTGAGTGGCCAAGACTGCACATGCTCGGAAATGAAAGAATACAATACAATACAATGCATTACATCACTTCCAAATTTGTATTCTGGCATACAAGAATTTTCATAACTTTGGTAACCTCTTCATCATCAATACGAGACTAGCATACAAGATAAAATGGACGATCATTCATCTGACATTCTTATCATGTGCACAAGGCTTAACAGACTGATCTTAGCATAAAGGCCATAAACAAATATATTCCTAAATAAGTTTTTATTATTATTATTATTATTATTATTATTATTATGTGCCATCCATTCGAGTCTGAGTCCTATTGACTTGATGAATAAGAGCTCTAAAAAGAAGTCTGCTTTGTGCTAGCCTTGTGAGATTCTCCAGTGTCATCCCCACACCTGTAGTGAAAGCATCCAACCACCTAGCAGTCAGTCTCCCTCTTCGCCTGGTTCCTTCAATATTCCCTAACATTATTACCTTCTCCAGTGATCTTTCCCTTCTGATAGTGTGACCAAAGAAGGACAGTCGCAACTTCATCATGTAAGTTTCTATCACATTTGCAAAATCCAAAGTTCTAGTCTTTGGCAAAACAAAAACTTACTTATACTAGCTGCAACATTTGCCTTAGCAGACAACCATCATCTAACAGCGATGCATGCATTGTATCCGAGTGGACTTTGAATCTTCTATGGGTACAGGGGCGGACTGACCATTTGGAAAACTCGGGCACTGCCTGAGGGCCCGGGGTCTCATAGGGGGGCCCCATGAGATGCCCCTGGTACATTTTTTATAGGCTTTTTTGAGTTTTGGCAAGGACACAGGGGCCCCATGATTCTCTATTGCCCGGGGGCCCCATGAGTTGTCAGTCCACCCCTGTATGGGTGCATATTTGTAGCAAGGTAGTTGTAAAACTACAGTTAATTATCAAACGTTTGTCGGGACATTTTACATTTTGTTTGTTGGTGGGTAAGGGTGCAATGTACTTTAAATGGTTCCTGAGGGTTCACAAAATTCCTTTCAACTAATCTGGACTTGTTTTTGAGCTAACACTGGCATTAACTTGAGGATGATCCAAGCTCTAACCTAAGGCCTCTTTCACATGGGCGTTCTGTATGTCCGTTTATGGATGAAAAACGGACACCCATGTATTTCTATGGACTAGCGGATGTAAACAGATGATCATCTGTTTACATCCGTTAATGTCCTTATCCGTTAACATACATTTTTTTGAACGGACGAAAACCCTATTTTTCTTCTTTAAAAAAGAAAAAGGAACATACAAAAAAACAGATGTAAACGGATGTAAACAGACGAAAAAATGGATGAAAATGGATGAAAACAGATGTAAATGGAAAAAAATGGATGTATACAGATGAAAAATGGAAGTAAATGGATGAAAACGGATGAAAAAACGGATAAAAAATGGATGTAAACTGATAAAAAAAAGATGTAAACTGATGAAAAAAATGGAACCACGCGTAAAAGGGGCCTAACACTTACCTAACACTTACCATCAGAAATCAGTGCCATTTGAAAGTCACACTCATACCAATGTAGCCCTAAAGCAATTGCATCTCCCATCTCACACAAATGATATCTGAGCAGATAACTGTTGGGTACGAAAGATGGCAGCAGCCCACACATGTGCCAATTAAAAAAATATAATTTCAGAAGCAAATGCTGTATGTGTTTTTTGGCTCTTTGTATGATGTCTTAACTGTGCGCTTCATATACAAATGGCGTTCTTGACAAACTGGGACTTTTAATTTTTCAGGTATAAAAAAAGGGATGCTAGCGT